TTCAGCAAATATAAAATCAGAGTGGAAGCTCCTTCCTCCTTACCAATTCTCCAACGTCTGTAGTAAGAATGATGGAACATAATTTAGTCTTTTCTATGTCTCAGATGTTGATCTATCCTCTTATAACAGGTCTAATTTATTTTATGTAAATTGAACTTTATAGAATAATTAACTATTGATATTCAAGCAAAAATATCTTTGTACGAGTGAGTATCCTGTTTCCACCAATACTTCATCATAAGCTAAAAATTGAGGAAGCAAATACAGAGTGCATGGCCCATTGGGTCCCTGTGTTTTGTCCATGCACTTTTTTAAAGATGTTTTTTAGATTGTCGATGGACTTTAATTTTATTAATTTATTTATATGTGGTGCTGAGAATTGAACCCAGTGCATCAAACATGCGAGGCAAGCTCTCTACCACTGAGCCACAACTCCAGCCCCATCCACGCACTTTTTAAAAGACATGCCAATCCTGTACCTCCATGGTATTTCAAAGAATGAATGTGACACTTATTACAAAACACTAAAAGTCGAGGGTGGAGCACCAAATTTTACTTTTCAGTGCTTTACTCTTGTATCTATTATCATCATTTGGGATGAAAAAGGGAACCATGGAGCAAATGTGGTTGGAAAATTAACATGTGTTTTCTGGAAAGCTTTAAATATAAATTAAGGATAATTTCAAAGAAGAAGAGAAAATAAGGAGAAGAGAGGAAGCGAAGGAAGGAAGAAAGGAAGGTAGGCAGGGAGGAAGGAAGGAAGGAAAATCTCATCTTCTATTTAAGAATGGAAACAAAACAAAACAAAAATCAAATTGAAATACCTGTTTTCATAACTTACATGGTCCTATATAATTATATCATAGGCATTCACTTAACTATATATACAACAATACTTGGCATTCAAAATAGAACAGGAATTTCATCTTAAAAATCCATGAATAGATCATGGAATCCTGACATAAGAACAAAATTATCTCAGTTATGAGGCTTGTTTTTGCAATAAATCAAGATACCCATGACGTTGTCTGAGGCACATGAGTGAGATAATGTGACCATGCACTGTCTGTGGTTTTCCCCACCCAGCACCCATCTCATATAAAAGGCAGGTGGCAGACAGTGACATCCAGATTCAAGACACCTGCATCCTAATCCTGAACTGAACACTCCACTCCTGACAGCATGAGCTGCTACTATGGCAACTACTATGGTGGGCTGGGCTATGGCTATGGTGGCCTAGGCTGTGGCTATGGCTGTGGCTATGGTGGCTATGGCTGTGGCTATGGTGGCCTAGGCTATGGCTATGGTGGCTATGGTGGCTATGGTTATGGATGCTGCCGCCCACTCTGCTACAGAAGATATTATTCCTATGGCTTCTACTGAGGCATTTCCTTAGCTGCTGAGCCTACTGGCTGTCCCGTCCTTTCTTACAGGAATCATCTGCAACTTTCTTCATGTGAAAAATGTTAAATGCTTTCAACATACCAACTAAACATCAAAGTGTCTGAAGAAAATGAATGAAATGAAATCAACTACCTGATTCATCCTTATCTCTTGAATTGTGTGATTGGAGAAATGTTTATTCTTGATAATTACACAGTGTGTGTAAGGTGATGAAATTTTTCAACTTCTATGTTAAATGTCCTTATATTAAATAAAGTGTTGCATTGGAAATATTACATTGATACAATTGTTTTTATTTGTCTCCATCAGTGAAGCATGTCCATTTGTGCATTTGGATGTGATTAATCAGGTGCAGGGGTTTAATGGAAATATGAGAGAGAAAAAAAGTATTACATATCTTTTCTGTGGTCAGTAGAGATCCAAAATTTAATATTGCATGAGTATTAATTCTAAAAGATCATGCACAATCTATATATATATATATATATATCTTCATTTCTTCTAAAATCACCCCTTGTAAGTTTTTTAGAAGGGTTTTTTTATATACAATAATGTGAGTATATTACATGAGATCATTTTAAAATCTTTCTTTTAAAGTTTTGTGTTGTTTGTCTTGCCAGTGGTTACATTATATCATCTATAGCTCAGCCTCTGTGAAAGTGTCTCAAAGTAATTGTTTGCACTTTTTACAGTGTGAATAAAAGTGTATATCTATATCTATCTATCTATCTATCTATATGTAGGTCTATATATATAGATATAGATATGCATATATATATATATATATATATATATATATATATATATATATATATACACACATGTATGTGTACCCATCTATATGTATCTATATCAATAGTGATATCTATATATGTATCTGTATCAATATCTATATATGTATGTGTATCTTTATCTTCTCCGCTCAAAATGACTCAGACTTTATGCTATTGAAAATGTGTGCATTGAAATCACATTATTGATTGTCATCATGGCAACTAAATAGTATTTCAAAATTTATGAATTTATTTTCTATTTTAAAAAATTAGGTTCTATTCATAACAAGATAAACTTATCAAAACCATGAGTCACGTTTTAAGTATCAAATTAGCAGGAGGTTATTTTCTTTTTCATCCCAAACTCTAGTCCTCATTAAATGTACAAGCCTACATAGGCTAATTTTCCCTATATTCAAATTCTTTGCACTCTTAAATTGGTTATGTTTCACTTGGAAAACAAACTGACAGCAGTAGTGCAAGGAAATGCTAGTGAGAGAAATAAGGAATAAGAGGAGAATATTCTGACGAAGGAGAAAATGGGTGAAGGGGTGAAACTGGCCATTGTAGGAGCCAGGCAGGATGATGCTGTGACACAGAGTAACCAGCAGAGTTTTGAGTCCATTAATTTTTCAGGACTGGCAAACCCTAGTCAGAGATACACAAAGACACAATCTGACAAGAATGTGCTTGGAGAGTACTGACTTTAACAGAGCCAGGTTTCTCCTGGAGATATTTTAGAAATTGAAAGTCACAGGGGTCCATTTCCTAAGACACAAACAGAATCACTTCAAAAGAGATAAAAAATATAATACAGCTGTGCTCCTGTCTAGCTGATGAGAAAATCATCACAATTAAGAACTATCCTTAACAGAAAAGACAAACAAGCATCTACTACAGACTAGACCAAGAGAGGTAAATAGACCCTGACCAAAATTCAGAGCCTAATTTTGCATTAATTCTCATTTGAATTGGGTTAGTCAGACATTTTCTAATAGTCCACTAGCAGCACCAACAGCACTAGTCTCTACAGTGAAACATAATATTGTTCTGAACCTTCTAGGATTTGAATAGACAAGGTTGAACTTATGGACTCCCTTGGAAATATGCAAAACAGGCAAAAGATGACATCATCCACATATCAGAATTTGTAATTAAATTGGGGAAATGAATCTAGAATCAAATTAATGTACAAGTTTACTTTTAAAAGAAGCAAATGAATGACATGGTAAATTATTAACAAATTCAGCCTCACAAAGGTAATATAATTTCCCTAATACTAAATGTATTAAATCTGCTCAAAATACATATTTATTGTCTAATTTCAAAAGAAAAGAAAACTGCTTTTCTTTTCTTATACAACATACAATACAATGACTTAAAAGTTATTGGCACATGTTCTATGACAAATGAATGTCAATTGGCAGCTGAAAGAGGCTGGCAGAACTATATGAAACCCCCTGAGAAGTCTCAACTGAATGAGAAGCTTGTGGAAAGGCAGGTTTTTGTCATGACTATGCATCTATGATTACTTTCAGTGTTTGGTGACATCAATGAGCAGAACTGACAGGACTTGAGACATCAGAGGACATTATGGTTCAACAACTGTAAAACAGGAGTAGATGTTCCTTCTTCCTGACCAATTCTTCCAATGTCTACATTTCGAGGGGTGGAACATAATTTAGATTTATTTTGGACTCTAACTCATATAGTTGTCCTGTTATAGTAGGTATAATTTATTATATGAAAATTATTTTTAATAAATTGTATTGAATATTTCTATAAAAAAACATCATTCTATGATTGAGTAACCTGTTTCTACCAATACTCATCATCAGGAAAAACTGAGGAAACAAAGAAGGATTCCATGGATTATTTTGGCCCTCTGACCTATCCATACACATTTTAAGTGCCATATCATTCTTTCATCTCCAAGATACTTGTAAGAGCAAATGTGACAGCTATTAAAAAATTAAAGCTTTGCACATTGGCACAGGTCTGAAATCCCTGGGGCTCAAGAGTCTGTGGTAGGGGGATCCCAAGTTCAAAGCCAGTTGCAGCATCTTAGAGAGGCCCTAAGCAACATGGAAAGACCCTGTCACAAAGTAAAAAATAAAAATGGCTAGGGATGTGGCTCTGTGGCTAAGCACTCCTCATTTCTTTACTCAGTTCCCCATCCCAAATAAGAGTCAAAGATTGGGGACCCAACTTTATCTTGGGGTGATTTACACTTGCAGCTATAAACTTTATTTGGTAAACGGAAGAGGAAAATTGAACAAATATAATTTCCAACTGTCAAATGGTTATTTATTTTCTGGAATGTTTGAAATGTATGTCAAGATTAATTTCACAAGAAGAGAAGAATGGAAAAGAAAGAAAGAAATGGAGAGAGAGAGAAAGAAGGAAGGAAGGGAAAAAAGCTTTCCTTCTTTTGAAACATGGCAACAACACAAAACAAAATAAAACTGAAATACTTGTTTTTATTATTTGCATCATGTAATCAAATCATACATATTCTATTAATTAAATATAAAAGAGACATTGCATTCAAAATAGAACAAGAATTTCACTTAAATAAATAAATGAATCATGGATACCTTACGTAAGAGCAAAATTATCTCAGTTATGAGTCTTGTTTTTGCAATGAGTAAAGATACATATGACGTTGTTTGAAGCACAATAGTGAGATAATATGATTATGCCCTTCCTGTGGTTTTCTCCACCCAGCACCCATGGTATATAAATGGTAGGTGGCAGACAGTGCCATCTAGACTCAAGACACCTACGTCCTTATCCTGCACTTAACTTTCCACTCCTGACAGCATGAGCTGCTACTATGGCAACAACTATGGTCAGCTGGGCTATGGCTATGGTGGCCTAGGCTGTGGCTATGGTGGCTATGGCTGTGGCTATGGCTGTAGGTATGGTGGCTATGGTGGCTATGGTGGCTATGATTATGGATGTTGCCGCCCACTCTGCTACAGAAGATGCTGGTCTTATGGCTTCTACTGAGATATTTCCTCAGCTACTGAGCCAATTGGCTCTAACCTCCTATCTCACTAGAATCAATTCCAAGTTTCTTCATATGAGGAATGTTTGAATGTCTTCAACAATACCAAATCTATGCCAAACTAACTGAGATAATTGAATGGAATCAGCATGACTGTTTTAATTCATCATTACCTCTTAGATTGAATGATAGTTTGGAGAAATATTTTTCCTTTGATAATATCATTAAAACACTTTGTAAATGTGATCAAATTGGACTCTTGATTTTTCTGTAAAAAAAACATATTATGAAATAAACTATATTTCACTGGATATATGGGTGTGCTACAATTCTCTTAAATTGTCTCCATTGGTGTAACATGTGTATTTCTGTAATTGTATGTGTTCACTAGGGGTATAAAATTTAATGATGTTGGGCTGGGGATGTGGCTCAAGCGATAGCGCACTCACCTGGCATGCATTTGGCCCGGGTTCGATCTTCAGCACCACATACAAAGATGTTGTTTCTGCCGAGAACCAAAAAATAAATACTAAAAAAAAATTCTCTCTCTTTAAAAAAAATGATGTAAAAATATTAATTCTTTCTTAGAGATCAGACAACATCTGTTTTTATTTATCTTGTCATGTCTCCTAAAATTACCCTTTGTACTTTTTTGAAATTGCTATCTTCTACAAAATTTTTTTTTATTTCACACCAGCCTATTTTAACCATATCTGTATTTATATGCTTTTTGTTGTTAGTACCATCAGTGATCAGATTAGATCATCTATACCTCTGCCTCTGTGAAAAGAATCTCAGAGTATCTATGTGTGTGTAGTGTACAGCAACATATCTCCTCCCTAAATAATAACTACAGGCTTTTTCATATTGATAATGTCTGCAGTAATAATTGTGTTCTGGATTACCATGAGGGCAACCAAATAGCATTTGAACATATATAAATTTACTCTTGTCTTTCAAAAATACATGCATTAGACATATAAAGACACATTTAATAAAAAATATAAGTCATTTCTCAGTATCAAAATAGTATTAATTTGTTTTGCTTTGGACCCCACAGTCTGTGTATATATCTACATATGCTAATTTTCTCCAGAATCAAATTCTTTCCACTCTTATTAAAGTAGTTACTTTTCATTTGAAAAACTCAAACTGACAACATTAAATGCAATGAAGTGCTGATGGGAAAAGTAAGGAATATGGAAACCAATATTTTTAAGATGGAAAATGGTTTTAAAAGTTGGGTGAAATTCTACCATTCTCCATTCTTGGAGCCAGGCAAGAGGCTTTGCTGACACAGCATAACCAATAGAAATCTGAGTCCATTTTCAACTTTTTAGGGCTGGCAATCATAGTTGGAGATGAAAAAAGACACAATTTGACAAGCACGTGCTGGGAGAATGCTCACTTCAAAAGATCCAGCTTTCTCCTTGAGATATTTGGAAAATTTGAAGTCACAGGGGTCCATTTCCTAAGACATGAAGCAGAATCACTTCAAAAGGAAATTTTTCAAAAAATTGTGTTCATATCAAGGTGATGAGAAAACCATTGCTGGAATTAAGGAAAAAAATATCCTTAAAGGAAGGAAAAAAAAGAGCAATTCCTCTTTCCTATAGGGAAAAGAGGTAAATAGACCCTAACCAAAATTTAGAGCATAATTTTGTGTTAGGTCTTGTTTGAATGGGATCAGTCATATATTTTCTAACAGTCCAAGAGCAACAACAACAAAACTCTCTAAGGTGAAACAAATATTGTTCTGGACCTTCTAAAATTTTAATTAAAAAGGATGAGCTTATGGACTCCTGTGGATATATGCATAAGAGTCAACAGATAACAAAAGCAAGCATATTAGAGTCACATATTGGAGCTTGTACTAAAATTGGAGGAATGAACCAAACAATCAAATTTAAATTCTAGTTCTTTTCAATAAACAAATAAATAGTGTTAAAGAATTAAATACATTTACCTTCAGAAAAAAATATATGTATAATACTAAATTTAGTATATCTGACCAAAAATATGATTTATTGCCCAATTTCAAAAGGAAGAGACTTTGTTTTATTTTGCAACACTTGCATTTTCTCCATGGTCTTCTTGCCACTTGTAGTATGTCATGATATGGACAAAAACCTTAGTAATCACAAAAAACACAGAGACAATCATAAATTTCACACAATAAAATGATTATTAAATTACTGGCACAAAGTTTATGACGAATGTCAATTGGTAAGTGAAAGAGGCTGGCAGACCCATGCAAATCCCTATCAGAAATATCAAATCATCTGAATGAGGACCTTGGGCAAAAGCAGCTTTTCATCATGTCTATGTACCTGTGAATATTTTCAGTGTTTTGTGACAGTGAGTAGCAGAACTGGCAGGATTTGTGAGTCAGGGGATGTTTTACAGTAACTGTAAAATCAGAGTGAAGCTTCAGTCTTCCTTACCAGTTCCTCCAATGCCTACATTTGGTGATGTGGAACAGAGTTTATGTTTGTCTCTAACAGTCTAAAATGTTTAGCTATTCTCTTAAAATAGTTCTAATGTCGTTTAGGTAAATAGAATTTCATTGAACATTAAAATCAAACAAAAAACGTCTTTCCATGATTGAGTATCCTTGTTTCCACTCATACTTCATCAGCAGCTAAAAGCTGAGGAAGCAAAGAAAAAGCACATGCCTCATTTTGTCCATCTGACATATCCATACACTTTTCAGACATGTCCTTTGTGTAACTACATGGCACTTATGAAATGAAAGACCTGTTTAAAAAAAGTGTAGGGTAGGACACCCAGCTTTAATTTAGAGAGTTTTACACTTGATCCATGATCTTCATTTGGAATGATGAAGGAAATCATGGAGTACATAATATTTCTAAGTGGAAAATGGTAATTTATTTGCTGGACAGTTTGAAATATGTTAACACAAATTTCACAAGAAGAAAAAAATAGGAAAAGAAAGAAAGGAAAGGGTCTGGGGATGTGGCTCAAATGGTAGTGCGCTGGCCTGGCATGCGTGCAGCCCGGGTTCGATTCTCAGCACCGCACACAAACAAAGATGTTGTGTCCGCCGAAAATTAAAATAAATAAATAAATATATATATTTTAAATTATCTCTTTCTCTCTCTATCTCTCTCTCTCTCTCTATCTTTAAAAAAAAGGAAGGAAGGAATGAGGAGGAAGGAAGAGGAAAGAATAAAGGAGGAAGACAGAGTGGGAGGGAGGGAGAAAAGATGGGAGGGAGAGAGGATGGAAGGGAGGAAGAAAGGAAGGAAGAAAGGAAAATCTTTGTCTTCCATTTAAGAATGGAAACAATCAAAATCAAAAATAAAAAGGAAATACCTACTTTCATAATTTACATGGAACTATAAAATCATATTGTAAGCATTAAATTCACTAAATATAGAACAATACATGGTCTTCAAAATAGAGCTAGAATTTCATTTTAAAGGCCCTTAAACAGATCACAGAATCCTGACATAGGGACAAAATTATCTCAGTTATGAGGTTTGTTTTTGAAATAAATCAAGATACCCTTGACATTGTCTGAGGCACATGAGTGAGATAATATGACCAGGCACTGTTTGTGGTTTTCCCCACCCAGCACTGAGGAGGTATAAAAGGCAGGTGGCAGACAGTGACATCCAGACTCAAGACACCTACATCCTGATCCTGAACTGAACACTCCACTCCTGACAGCATGAGCTGCTACTATGGCAACTACTATGGTGGGCTGGGCTATGGCTATGGTGGCCTAGGCTGTGGCTATGGTGGCTATGGTTATGGATGCTGCCGCCCACTCTGCTACAGAAGATACTATTCCTATGGCTTCTACTGAGGCATTTCCTCAGCTCCTGAGCCTACTGGCCGTCAAGTCCTTTCTTACAGGAATCATCTCCAATGTTCTTCACATGAAAAATTTAAATGCCTTCAACAATACCAACTATACACCAAAGTGTCTGAGAAAAATGAAATGAAATCAACTACCTGATTCATCCTTATCTCTTGAATTGTGTGATTGTAGAAATGTTTATTCTTGATAATTTTATAGTACATGTAATGTGATCAAATTTGTCAAGTTCTGAATAAAATGTCCTTATATTAAATAAAGTATTGCATAGGAAATATTACTTCAATACAATTGTTTTTATTTGTCTCCATCAGTGAAACATGTCCATTTATGTATTTGGATGTGATTAATCATGTGCAGGGGTTTTAATGGAAATATGAGAGAGAGAAGGAGTATGGCAGATTTTTCCTGTGGTCAGTAGGGATCCAAAACTTAATGTTGTATGAGTATTAATTCTAAAAGATCATACACAACCTGTTTTTATATATATATTTTCATATCTTCTAAAATTACCCTTTGTAAGTTTTTCAGATTTTTTATATACAATAATGTTTGTATATAACATGAGATCACTAAAATTTTTCTATTTAAAGTTTTGTGTTGTTTGTCCTACCAGTGTTGGATTATATCATCTATAGTTCAGCCTCTGTGAAAGTATCTCAACGTAATTGTTTGTGCTTTTTACAGTGATGGATAAAACTGTATATATGTGTGTATATATATATATATATATGTATATATATATATATATATATATATATATATATATATATATACCCGTATCAATATTGATATTTATATCTGTATCTGTATCTATATCTTCTCCCCACAAAATGACTCAGACTTTATCATATGGAAAATTGTGGGCACTGAAATTTCATTATTGATTGTCATCATGGCAACTAAATAGTATTTCAAAATTTATGAATTTATTTTCTATTTAAAAATATAAGTCCTATTTATAGCAAGATAAACTTAGGAAAACAATGAGTTTCATTTTAAGTATCAAATTAGCAGTAAATTATTTTCTTTTTCATCCCAAACTCTGGTCCTCATCAAATGTAGTTGCCTATATAGGCTAATTTTCCCTGTATTCAAATTCTTTGCACTCTTAAATTGGTTATGTTTCACTTGGAAAACAAACAAACAGCAGTAAGTGCAAGGAAATGCTAGTGGGGAAAATAAAGAATAAGGGAAGGACAATTGTATTGAAGTAATATTTCCTATGCAATACTTTATTTAATATAAGGACATTTTATTCAGAAGGAAAAAATTGGTAGAAGGGGTGAAATTGGTGGTTCTAAGAGCCAGGCAGGACAGTGCTGTGTCACAGAGTAACCAGCAGAGTTTTGAGTCCACTTTTAATTTTTTGTGGCTGGCAAACCATAGTTGGAGATATACAAAGACATAATCTGACAAGAATGTGCTTGGAGAGTACTGACTTTAACAGAGCCAAGTTTCTCCTAGAGATATTTTAGAAATTGAAAGTCACAGGGGTCGATTTCCTGAGACACAAACAGAATCATTTCAAATGAGATGAAAAATATAATACATGTGCTCATGTCTAGGTGATGAGAAAATCATCACAATTAAGAACCATCCTTAACAGAAAAGACAAATGAGCATCTACACAGACTAGACCAAAAGAAGTAAATGGACCTTAACCAAAATTCAGAGCCTATTTTTTCATTAATTCTCATTTGAATTGGGTCAATCAGACATTTTCTAATACTCCACTAGCAGCACCAACAGCACTAGTCTCTACAGTGAAAAATAATATTGTTCTGAACCTTCTAGGATTTGAATAGACAAGGTTGAACTTATGGACTCCTTGGAAATATGCAAAACAGGCAAAAGATGACATCATCCACATATCAGAATTTGTAGTTAAATTGGAGAAATGAATCTCGAATCATATTAGTATTCTAGTTTACATTAAAAAAATGCAAATAAATGATATCTGCTCAAGAAACATATTTATCGTCTAATTTCAAAAGAAAAAAATACTGCTTTTCTTTTCTTATACAACATACAATACAATGACTTAAAAGTTATTGGCACATGTTCTATGACAAATGAATGTCAATTGGCAGCTGAAAGAGGCTGGCAGAACTATGTGAAACTCCCTGAGAAGTCTCAACTGAATGAGAAGCTTGTGGAAAGGCAGGTTTTTGTTATGACTATGCACCTATGATTACTTTCAGTGTTTGGTGACATCAGTGAGCAGAACTGACAGGACTTGAGACATCAGAGGACATTTGAGTTCAACAACTGTAAAACAGGGGTAGAAGTTCCTCCTTCCTGACCAATTCTTCCAATGTCTACATTTCGAGGGGTGGAACATAATTTAGATTTATTTTGGTCTCTAACTCATAAAGTTGTCCTGTTATAGTAGGTATAATTTATTATATGAAAATTATATTTTAATAAATTTTATTGAATATACTATCAAACAAAAAACATCTTTCTATGACTGAGTAACCTTTTTTCCACCAATACCTCCTCATCAGGAAAAACTGAGGAAACAAAGAAGGATCACATCATTTATTTGGTCCCTCTGCCTTATCGGTACACCTATTAAGTGACATGACATTTGTTCATTTGCTAGATACTTGTAAGACCAAATGTGACAGCTATTAAAAATAATAAAGTCTTGTACATTTCCTCTGGGGCTCAGGATTCTGTGGTAGGGGGATTCCAAGTTCAAAGTCAGTGGCAGCATCTTAGAGAGGCCCTAAGCACCATAGAAAGACCCTGTCACAAAGTAAAAAATAAAAATGGCTAGGGAGGTGGCTCAGTGGTTAAGCACTCCTCATTTCATTACTTAGTACCCCACCGCAAATAAGAGTCAAAGATTGAGGACCCAACTTTACTTTGGGGTGATTTACACTTGCATCTATGAACTTTATTTGGGTAAGGAAGAGGAAAATTGAACAAATATAATTTCCAACTGTCAAATGATCATTTATTTTCTGGAATGTTTGAAATGTATGTCAAGATTAATTTCACAAGAAGAGAAGAATAGAAAAGAAAGAAAGAAATGGAGAGAGAGAGAAAGAAGGAAGGAAGGAAAGAAAAGCTTTCCTTCTTTTGAATCATGAGAACAACAAAAAATATAATAAAAGTGAAATACTTATTTTCATGATTTATATCAAATATAATCAAATAATACATATTCTATTAATTAAATATAAAAGGAGATATTGCATTGAAAATACAACAAGTATTTCATTTAAATATATATATGGATCACAGAATCCTTATGTAAGATCAAAATTATCTCAGTTATGAGGCTTGTTTTGCAATAAGTCAAAATATTCCTGATATTGTTTGAATCACAGTAGTGAGATGATAATATGACCATGCAATGCCTGTGGTTTTTCCCACCCAGCACCCATGGTATACAAAAGGCAGGTGACAGACAGTGACATCCAGACTCAAGACACCTACATCCTGATCCTGAACTGAACACTCCACTCCTGACAGCATGAGCTGCTACTATGGCAACTACTATGGTGGGCTGGGCTATGGCTATGGTGGCCTAGGCTGTGGCTATGGCTGTGGCTATGGTGGCTATGGCTATGGTGGCCTAGGCTGTGGCTATGGTGGCTATGGTGGCTATGGTTATGGATGTTGCCGCCCACTCTGCTACAGAAGATGCTGGTCCTATGGCTTCTACTGAAATATTTCCATAGCTACTGAGCCAATTGGCTCTAACCTCCATCTCAATAGAATCAATTCCAAATTTCTTCATATGAGGAATGTTTGAATGTCTTCAACAATACCAAGTCTATGCCAAACTAACTGAGATAATTGAATGGAATCAGCATGACTGTTTTAATTCATCATTACCTCTTAGATTGAATGATAGTTTAGAGAAATGTTTTTCCTTTGATTATATCATTATAACACTGCATAAATGTGATCAAACTGGACTCTTGGTTTTTGTGTAAAAAACATATTATGAAATAAACTATATTTCACTGGAAATATGGGTGTGTTACAATTCTATTAAATTATCTCCAATTGTGGCATGTGTATTTCTGTAATTGCATGTGTAGTCATATGTGTGGTGTGTTTTTTTAGAGATGGAGGGGGAGGGCAATATAAAAATGTCAGAACACTTTTGTGGTCATTAGAGGTCTGAAATTTAATGATGTAAAATATTAATTCTTTCTCAGGGATCACACAACATCTGTTTTTATATGTCTTTTCATGTCTCCTAAAATTATCCTTTGTACATTTTTGAAATTTTTATATTCTACAATTTTTTTATTTCACACCAGCCTATTTTAACCATGTCTGTATTTATATGCCTATGTTGTTACTACCATCAGTGATCAGATTAGATCATCTATAGCTCTGCCTCTGTGTAAAAGAATCTCAAAGTATCTATGTGTGTGTAGTGTACAGCAACATATCTTCTCCCTAAATAATGACTACAGGCTTTTTCATATGCATAATGTCTGCAGTAATAAATGTGTTCTGGATTATCATAATGGATACCAAATAGAATTTGAACATATATCAATTTACTATTGTCTTTAGAAAAAATACATGCATTAGGGAGAGCAAGATAAGTTTATCAAAAATATAAGCTATTTTCTCAGTATCAAAATAGCATTAATTTGTTTTCCTTTTCACCCCACAGTCTGGTCTTCATCCAGTGTATATATCTACATATGATAATTTTCTCCAGAATCAAATTCTTTCCACTCTTATTAAAGTGGTGACTTTTCATTTGGGAAACTCAAACTGACAATATTAAATTCAATGAAGTGCTGATGGGAAAAATAAGGGATATGGAAACCAATATTTTTAAGATGGAAAATGTTTTTAAAAGTTGGGTGAAATTCTACCATTCTCCATTCTTGGAGCCAGCAAGAGGCTTCTCTGACACAGCATAATCAACAGAAATCTGAGTCCATTTTCAACTTTTTAGTGCTGGCAATAATTGGAGATGAAAAAAGACACAATTTGACAAGCATGTGCTAGGAGAATGCTGACTTCAAAAGATCCATCTTTCTCCTTGAGATATTTGGAAATTTTGAAGTCACAGGGGTCCATTTCCTAAGACATGAAGCAGAATCATTTCAAAAGGAATTTTTTTTAAATTGTGTTCATATCAAGGTGATGAGAAAACCATTGCTGGAATTAAGGAAAAAAATATCCTTAAAAGAAGGAGAAAAAAGAGCAATTCCTCTTTCCTATAGGGAAAAGAGGTAAATAGACCCTAACCAAAATTTAGAGCATAATTTTGTGTTAGGTCTTGTTTGAATGAGATCAACCATATATTTTCTAACAGTCCAAGAGCAACAACAACAAAACTCTCTAAGGTGAAATAAATATTGTTCTGGACCTTCTAAATTTTAATAAAAAAAGTTTGAGCTATGGACTCCTGTAGAAATATGCAAAAGAGGCAACAGATAACAAAAGCAAGCATATTAGAGTCACATATTGGAGCTTGTACTATAATTGGAGGAATGCACCAATCAAATTTAAATTCTAGTTCTTTTCAAAAAGCAAATAAATAGTGTTAAAGAATTAAATACATTTACCTTCAGAAAAAAATATATATATAATACTAAATTTAGTATATCTGACCAAAAATATGATTTATTTCCTAATTTCAAAAGGAAGACATTTTGTTTTCTTTTGCAACACTTGCATTTTCTCCATGGTCTTCTTGCCACTTGTAGCATGTCATGATATGAACAAAAAAACCCTAGTAATCAGAAAAAACACAGAGACGATCATAAATGCCCCACAATACAATGATTATTAAATTACTGGCACAAAGTTTATGACAAATGTCAATTGGTAAGTGAAAGAGGCTGGCAGACCCATGCAAATCTCTATCAGAAATATCAAATCATCTGAATGAGGACCATGGGCAAAAGCAGGTTTTCATCATTTCTATGCACCTGTGAATATTTTCAGTGTTTTGTGACAGTGAGTAGCAGAACTGGCAGGATTTGTGAGTCAGAGGATATTTTACAGTAACTTTAAAATCAGAGTGAAGCTTCAGTCTTCCTTACCAGTTCCTCCAATGCCTAGTTTTAGAGTGGTGGAACATAGTTTATGTTTGTCTCTGTCTAAGGTGTTGATCTGTTCTCTTAAAATAGTTCTAAGGTGTTTCGTAAATTTAATTTCATTGAACATTAATATCAAACAAAAAACATCTTTCCATGATTGAGTATCGTTGTTTCCACTCATACTTCGTCAGCTGCTAAAAACTGAGGAAGCAAAGAAAACCACATGCCTCATTTTGTCTATATGACCTATCCATACACTTTTGAGACATGTCATTTCTGTATTGCTCAGCACTTGTAAAATGAAATACCTGTTAAAAAATGTAGGGTAGAGCACCCAACTTTAACTTAGAGCATTTTACACTTGATCCATGATATTTATTTGGAATGATAAAGAAAATCATGGAGTAAATAATATTTCTAAGTGGAAAATGGTAATTTTTTTGCTGGACAGTTTGAAATATGTTAACACAAATTTCACAATAAGAAAAGAATAGAAAAATAAGAAAGAAGAAATGAGGAAGGAAGAAAGGGGGAAGACAGAGAGAGTGGGAGGGAGGGAGAAAATATAGGAGGGAAAGAGGAAGGGAGGGAGGAAGGAAGAAAGGAAAATCTTTTTCTCCCATTGATGAATGGAAACAATCCAAAACAAAAATAAAAAGGAAATGCCTACTTCCATAATTTACATGGTACTATATAATCATATTGTAGGTATTAAATTCACTAAATGTAGAATGGTATATGGTATTAAAAATAGAGCAAGAATTTCATTTTAAAGGCCCATAAGCAGATCACAGAATCCTTACGTAGGAACAAAATTATCTCAGTTATGAGGCTTGTTTTTGCAATAAGATACACATGATATTGTCTGAGGCACATGAGTGAGAAAATATGACTGTGCCCTGCCTGTGGTTTTCCCCACCAGCACCCCTGGTATATAAAAGGCAGGTGGCAGATAGTGACATCCAGACTCAAGACACCTACCTCCTGATCCTAAACTGAACACTCCACTCCTGACAGCATGAGCTGCTACTATGGCAACTACTATGGTGGGCTGGGCTATGGCTATGGTGGCCTAGGCTGTGGCTATGGCTGTGGCTATGGTGGCTGTGGATGTGGCTATGGTGGCTGTGGATGTGGCTATGGTGGCTATGGTGGCTATGGTGGTTATGGCTATGGATGCTGCCGCCCACTCTGCTACAGAAGATGCTGGTCCTATGGATTCTACTGAAGAATTTCTTTAGCTGCTGAGCCTATTGGCTGTCACACTCTATCTCACTGAAATCATCTCCAATTTTCTTCACATTCGAAATTTTTTAATATCTTCAAAAATACCAACTATATACCAATCTGAGAAAAATGAATAAAATCAGCCTGCCTATTTTGATTCATCCTTATCTCTTGGATTGTGTGATAATTTGGAGACAAGATTTCCTTTGATAATTATCTTTAAAACACTATGTAAAATGTGGTGAATTTTGACTCTCAACTTGTAAAAAATTCATAGTATTAAATAAACTCTTTCACTGGAAAAAGTGCTCTGTTATGATTCTATCAATTTCCCTCCATTTGTGTGCCTTGTCTACTTGTGCATTTGCATGTGTTTATCCATTGTCTGTTTATAGCAATATATGAGTGAGAAAGTACAAACTAGAGCTCTTTTGTGATAATTAATGTTGTCAAAATTAAAGATGTAAAAATACAAATTCTTTCCAAAAGGTCAGACAAAATGCATTCTTTTTTTTAAACTATTTTTTAGTTATAGGTGAACACAATATTTTTATTTTATTTTTATGTGGTGCTGAAGGATCAAACCTAGTGCCTCATGCATAGTAGGTGTGCACTCTACTTCTGAGCCACAACTCAATCCAAAATCCATTTATTTATTTGTCCCTTTATCTGTCTTAAAATTTCCCTTTCCTTGTATGTTTTTAATGCCACTTTTCTACAATAGTGTTTGTATTTCACATCAGATCATTTAAAAAAATCTTTGTATTTTATACTTTGTGTCATTTAAATCACCAGTGATTTAGATCATATCAGCTCTACCTCTTCCCCTATGAAATGTTTCTCAAATTAAATATGTATGTGTGTTGTGTATGTAGAGAGATCGATAGATATAGAATAGATCTATATCTATATCTATATCCCTAACTATCTCTCCTCCCTAAACAATGACTTCAGGCTTTAGCATATTGAATACGTCTGCACTAATAATGGCATTTTGGATTACCATCATGGTAACCAAACTGCATTTCAAAATATATCAGTTTAATCTGCAATTTAGAAAAATTCATGTATTATGCATAGCAAGATAAATTCATGAAAACCATGAATTATTTTCTCAGAATCAAACTAGTTTTAGTTTATTTTCTTTTTCACCCTGAAGTCTTGTCATTATGGAATGTAGTTGCCTGCATATGCTAATTTTCTCCAGAATCAAATTCTTTCCACTCTTAAAGTAGTTATGTATGTTCTTTTGGGAAACTCAAACTGACAGCATTAGGTGCAATGAAATGCTGATGGGGAAAGTAAAGAATAAAGGTACCAATACTCTGGAAAAAGATGGTGAACGGCTGAAATTAGCAGTTCTTAGACCCAGGCAAGAGGCTACTGTGACAAAAAGTAGCCAGCAGTATTCTGGGTCTAT